AGAAAGAAAGAAAGAAAGAAAGAAAGAATAATAATTGTCATAAGGAATAAATCTTTTGTTTTGTTAAAAAAAAAAGGTCTGGTCATTCTCTTAAATATCTGGATTTGTTATTTATTATGATAGGGTTTTATAATTTTGGTTATTATTTTACAGTGGCCTAAAGTTGAACTTAGGTTAATTATCCTGTACTTGTTTTAAAGAAGTCACTCCTAAATTTTAACTTTGGCTCTCGGGAATCAATGGGCTAAAGTTACGGTTTTGAATGACAGTGAATACTGACTCTAAGCAAGGAAAAGCAATGGCTCGGCTTGACCCAGCTTGGGAGAAACGGGTTGGTTAGAAAAAACCAGGTAGTGGGAGAGTAGTGGCGTGACTGAGTTATGGGCGGGTGACAGTGAGTGAGCTCAGCTTAGCAGGAGGGGAAAAATCGATAGAGAGCGGGACAATGAAAACGCAGAGCTAATTAATATCGAGGGAAACCATTTCAAACTAGAAAGAGAAGAAAAAAGACATTTAGCGAGAGGAACCAAACAGAGGGCCCCTGAGTTAAAATAGGAAAAACATTAAAACAGACTATTTTTTGCCCCAGAATGGGGTAGGGGGGAGCAGAAATGACACTGTAACATCATTCTGCACCGAAATATTCGTCAGGAAAGAAGGCCTCAACCTGAGCTCTAGACAAAAATGTGAGCCCTTGACCGTGAAAGGAGCAGTTTAGTCTCCAGAAGCACAGGAAAGACCAAAGAGAGGAATAGTCCACCGGTAACGGCAAAGAATACCGATGGGGCTGGCCTCCCACGGGAGGCGGGGGGAGTGGGGGGGCCTCTGGCTGGAGAAGAAGACGGTGGGAGCGGAGCAGCCTGGCCTGCATAGAACAGTCCTGGGGAGGAGAGTGGTGGCAACGCCGGAAGATGATTAATGGGGGCACGTGAATGGAAACTATTTCAACACATGGGCAAGTATTCTTTTCATTGTGATTTGTGATGCGCATCAAGGCATTTCAACCCTTGCAGTGCTCTCATTGGTCCTTTTAATACTAATGTAGCAGTAATAATTTTATGTGACATGTGAAAAGACCTTAGGTTTCCTGGGAATAATGGTAATGTAGCTAAGACCAGACCTGGATTCATCCATAATTCAGTAGTTTTGGGAGGAGGAAATCTATCTGATTATTAATAGATTAAGAAGTCTGGCTATACCTGGGATAAATACACAATACTTTTCCTTTTTCATTTTCTTTTATTTTTCGTTACAGAGTATTGGGGCGAGGAAGAAAAAGAAAGCCTGTCTAACAGGGCTCCTCCACTTTTCTGTGCCTAGTGCTTGTTCTGAAGACAAGCACTTGGCTCACGAGTGAAACGTTTTTACAGATAACATGTGAAACCACAGCTTTGAATCATTTCCAACTGTGTCTTTTTGTTGGCTCCGGCTTACTTTAGCTACTTACGCTGGACTGTCACAGTGTCTTAGGGATGAAGAGACGCCTCCCCCGCAGGTCCTGCTGCACTCTCCCCAGAGGGACCAGGCCCCCCAGCCCCCATCTACGCTCTGGGGCCAAGTGCCAAAAGCAACACAATCTCCCTGATAACACCACTGCAAGATTTCACAGAAAACACAGAATTAGCTTTCAGGCAGATAGAGCTATCAGAACAGAAATACATAAGGGTCAGGCAATGACCAATAACAGGCATTCGCATTCTCCAATAGATAACAGACTGAGGGTTCTTTAACTGTGTTTATACGTTGGTGATGGTGCATGTGATTTGCAAATTATCTTTAGCTCAGCAGTGATTTATAAATCCCTAACATGTACCAGGAGTCTAAAAAACTCTCCTTATTTCACCTCCTCCAGACTTTTAGTGTTTCTCAATTACAGAGACCTCAAAAGTCTTTTTTAGATATTTTAGTATTAACATTTTTTTTCTTTCTATTCCACTATTATTAGACTCATGGAATGATAACGCAATATGGAAAGTTCCCCAGTAAGGAATTTTTATGATGGTAATTGCTTTTTCTTTTTAAAAAAATAAAAAGGCTGGTTGAGGCTACAATAGTAAAAGAATGTGTTGTGGCATTTCATCTACATGAGTACTGCAGACATAATAAAAGTAATGCCAAGACACTAGGGACTGGGTACAAAAAAACCCTTATATACACTGACTAGCCATGTGTATGGGCCCTGCATGAACATGTGCACTGGAATTCTCCTCAGCTTTGCTCTCTGCAATAAACCACACATACTGCACATAAGTAGAAAGCCAGGAATAATTTATCAAGATGCAGACATCAAATAATCAGCTCATAACTCTAGCATGATAAATCTTACTTGCAGAATATGGTAAAAATGAAAGCCTTTTTGAAAAAAAAAAAAAGCATTTCTAGCCTTTTATTGGTGCATTCTTGTGAATTACCATCAAATGCTGACAAACTATACTGACGTTATGAAAGTCATTTGTTTATATGAATAACGATAGGCAACATTATTACAGTTGAGTAACTGTCAGCAATGTTAGATTGCTAAATAAAAATTCAACCTTATATTAAAACAGAGAGGGATTACGACAAACGATGTTTAGAAATTAATCATTTTATTTTACTAATTCTATATAGCCAGAATTTTTTCACTTTTCACCTTTTTCACTGTTACCACCTGGCCAATAGAATAGCTTCTTACCTGGTCTCCCTACCTCCACTTTTTTCTACCTATAATCAACCTATTCTCCAGGAACCATTCAGAGAGATCTTTTAAAAACAATGATCACATCATGCCTCTTTTTTGCTTAAAAGACTCTGGTGTTTCCTACTTCCCTTAACCCTGCTCAGCAGTGGCGGTGGGAACTGCGCTCATCTCCAGCCTTTCAGTCTTTCTCAGAGTGCTCCAGACACACTGGGCTTCTTTCCTTCCCTCAAACGCTAGGCTCATTCCCTCCACAGGGCACTTGCATCTGCCGACCCTTCTAGGAATGCTCCTCTCACAATTCCTTATATTTGCTGTCTTCTCATCATTCAGTCCTGGGCCACGCATCATGTCACCAGAGGTCTTTCCTTGAACACCCTTATCCTGAAGTGGTACCTCCCCAACATTTCCTGCATTCCCTTCCCCCAGCGCCAGGATGTAGTAGTTTTAGTTCACACTACTTTAAATGACACTGTTTATTTTTCAAATTACTTCAATATTGTTTGTCTCCTCTCATTAGTATATAAAAGCCTTAACTGCCACAGGGGGCTGTTTACATTTTAATTAATTATTATTAAAAGTTCAGTTCCTCAGACACACTAGCTACATTTTCAGGGCTTCATAAGCCACATATGTGGTGACAATGAGGGACAGAGCAGATCTAGCACATGCCTGTCGTCACAGAATGTTCTATTAGAAATGCCGAATGTCTAGAGCAGTACTTAGCATGGAGTAAATAAGCAACAAACACTCACTGAATGAATTAATACTTTAGTTCAGTTTTAGAATTCTGTGCCCTGTTTTGGTTGCTACATGTCAGGAAGGAACTGGAAATACTGGAGGGTCAAGAAAGTCAAATGTATCTTTGTTTCCCTCCTAATTAGCACTCTAAATGTTTTAGTAGTTGTAACAACATAAAAGACTTTTTAGAGAAGTGCTAAGCAATTATCATTTGTCCATAAAAAAAATTAAGCAAGAAGAAGTCAAATTTTGGTTGGCTATAAGGCAGAACATTCTGAGCCTTAATCTAGTAAATATTAAAGTAGGACATTAAGAAAGATTATGAGTCTTGACAATGAAAATTACCATAAAAATTATCTGTCCAAAAGATGAAGCAGAGGTAGTTGGCTGAACCCATATAATATAGTAACAACTTTGGGAGTAGGGCTGCTGTTAATGTACACTTGCGAGGGAGAGAATGTTCCAGCTGCCAGTTTATGACTTAATTGATCTTGAAGACCAACCATTTGTATGATAATTGTGTCAGACTTTCACCTACATAAAAGTCAAATATTGGACCACATAATCTCCAGTTTTACCTTTTTTGTTATTAGAAGTACCTGCGTGTAACAATGTCTATACCTGTGCTTATTTTTTTTTCCTATGAGATATCTTGAGCAACATAGTATTGACCAGCAACTACTGATTCGGGCCATGTCAATGAATGACTACACTTTTAAGAACGCCAAATCTTAAAATTTTTCCAAATTGGAAATCTATTTAGCATTATTGATTTCAAATAACATTAAAGCTTATTTTTATATTTTATAAACTCACAGAGCTGCATCTAAAGCTCAAAGGGACTTAAGTGTTAACGTGATAAGTATTTCATTTTTTTAGATGAGGAAACTAGAGCCTACAGCAGGTTAACTTGCCCAAGGTCACTTACTGGCAGAAAAGAAGGGATTATCTGTCCAAAAATATACAAAAATCAGTGGGAAAAGACCTATTGGAATCTTTTCTAACATAATTTATGGGACTGTATTTACTACATAAAATACAAAATAACACTAGAGACTATCAAAAAATCCACTTAGTTGTAAGTGTATACCCACACATTATTTCAGACTTCCTCGAGTACTCTTATAATTGGTAGAGAAAAGATTCACTTTTTGCGTTTTTCAGGGGCCAAAGGAAATGTGAGGGCCACCAGGACACTTAAAGATGTAGATTCCAAAGTATTTAATAACATTGTTATGTGTTTCCTGGAGACTCACAAAGTGTAGGACAGGGAAAGACGTCAAATAAGTTCTGTTGTCTTTCTTTTAAAACTTATCCTCAAAGTAAAAGATAAATACAATATAGTATTCAGTTTATTAAATGTTGCTCAATTCTCATGACTATTTAACATCTACACAGCAGTAGTATTTCATAACTGCTCTGCTAACACATTTTTCTGTATAAATTCACACTATTGATTATATATTCCATGAAGTTATAACATGAGACAATTGTATGAGAAAGTCTGTCCTTCCTTTCTCGCTCCCCAGCCATCTTGAAGGCTGCTCCTCATTGGGGTCTGTCCCACACCTAAGGTGGGAAGATGGTGGTTGCAAAGAAGACAAAAAAGTCGCTGGAATCGATCAACTCTAGGCTCCAACTTGTTATGAAAAGTGCAAAGTATGCACTGGGGTACAAGCAGGCTCAGAAGATGATCAGACAAGGCAAAGCCAGACTGGTCATCCTCGCCCACAACTGCCCAGCCTCGAGGAAATCTGAAACAGTGTGCTATGCCACGTTGGCCAAGACTGGTGTCCATCACTACTGTGACAATGACACTGAGTTGGGCACAGCATGTGCAAAACACCACAGAGTGGGCAGTCTGGCTCCCATTGATCCAGGTGATTCTGATATCATTAGGAGCATGCCAGAACAGACTGGTGAAAAGTTAATCATGAAAATTTTTCTTTAATAAAACTGGCCAGAGCTTGGTTTAAGAAAAAAAAGAAAGTTAAATTAGAAAGATTAATGGGTAAAAAAATAAAGAATTCATAATAATACTTACATTCACCTACCACCTGACAAGAGACTAGTGTCTAGTTTAACAAATAATTAACAACTTGGTTTACTAGTTAACAAGTTAACAACTTCAGTCTGTGTTACAAATCTGAGTTCTCATTCTAACAATATCTTTGGTCTAAAGCAAGTCATTTTTTTTCTTTTCTTTAGTTACTCTAACTATAAAATGGAGACTAACTTTAGTTTAACAATACGGTTTGGATTAGGACAACTTTAGAAATTCTATGCAGACATACCTTCAAAGAAGTTAAAAACCTATCAAAAGACTTGTCTAATTCTGCTCTCTGGCAAAATGTTCTTTTGTGTTTTGTTTAGCTTTCCCCTACCTTGTACTTATAGGAATGGATTTCTTTGGAATTCTTGCTACTTCCCTCCTCTGGTAGCAGTAAGTATCTTGATGTAACACATGATTTTAAAGAAGAAACTTATTTAACTTAATAATAACTGCTTGAAGAAATCCATAAAGGACTTCATGTGGAGCAAGTTATTTGAGCTAATTTTCTAGATGATTATATGAATCAATATATACTGATTTTAATATGTCATAAGTAATATAATTAGATTACACTAAATATAGTAGCTTGAAGTATATAAATCCTGTAAGTTCATAAAGGTGAGAATTTTGAGTGTTCTATTTTCTATTTTTATCTTTTTTTTTTTGCCTGAAGTTGCCAAACCTTTAATTTAAAAGCTCTGTTTCCATAGGCATATAATTTTACTTCTTTTCTTAAAACTAGAAGAGTTAAATCTTCAGATGGGAACCAGTTTCTAATCTTTACTCTCAAAGGTTATATCTAATCTAGTGATGTATTCTAAATATCAGTCATGTTACTTCAGTCCAAATTACTCACATAAATTGGATACATTTTGCCTTCTGTTTGCTAATTCAAGTGTGTTTAACCAGATTTAGAAAGATGAAAGTGAACGTATCACATTCTAAAAGTAAAATCTCAGATTGTTCATTGCTGCTTTTCATATTCCTTCTAAGTAAGACCAATATATTTTAAAACTCTCTAGAAAGACAGTATATTACAGTGAAGTTTTAAAAGTTTTCTTAAGAAACAATTATTAAGCAACATCTCTTGCTATTAGACCATTGAATTTCATGGTCCACATCAGGAAATTGTCTTAGCAAGATACATTATAAATAAAAAAATCTAACTTTGAGAATTTGTCAGACTTCCACAAAAAAATTTTTCAAGATGAGTATAGTTTTAAAATATTTTTTAAATTTTTAAATATTTAAAACATACATATTTTTTAACTAGAGTCATTCTAGGATGTGATTATACCATAGTTCTTGTACCATAGCCAGCACTGGGTCCAGCCAGCATCTGGAATGAGAGACCTCTAAGGAAATCCTAAGATTTTAAAGGAAGTGATATTGGTGATTCAATATAAAACATTCTTCCCAAGTCAGAAAAGCTGAAAGTTGGAGCACAGCACTATTAAAAGTCTTATCTTTCCACTCTGCAGGTGTGGGAATGCTGAAGCTTATTTCAGCCCAAATTCTAAATCAGAACTTGTCATCCCATACTATTTAAATTCCTAGAGCAATTGGAAGAGCTATTCTTTCTTTACTTCCTGTGTTTATAGTTTGGGACCCAGTCAAAACATGTTACATTCTACTCTGAGCTCTAGGCTGCAAATGTGCTATTATACATTCAGTGCTTTAGAAGGGCATATAATAATCCTACTCTAATCCAGCCCTGTTTTCCATACGAAAATATTAGGAACCAATGTCACATATATGTAAGTCCACATGCCAGGCTATGTCTCTAATTGGGTTTTGTAGAATCATTAAATCACTCTTTTGGCAATAAACCAAGGATTTGAAACTTTGTGGTCACCATCAGAGCTCTCAAGGATTGGGTTTTCATTATCCTTAACATCTTGTTCAGTAACAATGCTAACACTGCTATCGAAGTTTTTACAGACTAAATCTTTGTTTACTATGTCATCAAATATGGCATCCCTTCGATGCCTGTTCAAAGTGCTATTGCTGATGCCATGTCTAAAGAAAGTTGTTTTGGTTTTTTTTTTTTTTGCTTGAAGTTCTATTGATTGATTTGTAGGGGTTTGACCCATGGACGCACCATACCAACCAGCGCACTGTCTGGGCTCATCGAATTTCCTCCTTTGGTTAATGCTACTGTCCCTAAGCACATCCATTCAGACCATATGGTTCTTATTCAATCTTTGAATGGCTTATTCAGGCAAACATCCAATGGCTGTAATAGCGATGTCAGACCCCCCAGGACTCACACAAAGATCAGTTTTTAATTTTTTGGCCATATTTCTTACTCCATCTGCTAAATGTGCATGGAACAGTTCCCATACTTACATGGAACATTTGTGGAACTGCGCCCTCGGGCAGGCATCCCACATCTTTTGCAGCCAGAGTTTGACGAGATCATTGCGGATCCAGTCCTCTGGATGTCTATGCTATCACTTAAGCAATACTTCTCCTCCCACCATTTAAAAAGAACTTTTTAAAAAAACTATGAGCAACTTTGGTTTTATCTTCCTGGCTAGACAGGATGTAGGTTCTTTCTTGGTTCTTCTGATGAGAGTAGTTTTGAAATTTTAAGTTAAGATCAGAAGTCGTGTATATTCCATTCATGTTTCTGAGGCATGCAAATTCATGCTTACGCTCTCTGATGCTTCTTACTCCGGGTTAAGACAGGCTGGCAGAGAATTTTCTGCTCACAATCGTCTAAGGTTGGCAAATAACAATCAGAGGTAATGATAATGGTCTAGTAATATACGCTAGCACCCTCCCTCTGCAGAATTCCATAGAAAATTCACTGAGGTATTCTCTCATTTCATCCTCACAACATCTCTATGAAATATGTAGAAATAGGTTATCCCTAATTGTAAAGTGGAGATTCATTACTCTGCCAATTGTGACACAATCCTATAGTCTTAGATCAGTGTTCAGTCCACAGTGCCTTCTTATTGTGATCCCTGAGATGAGAAAATATTACAGGTAGATAAGTGGAGAATCTGCTTAGTGCTAAAGTGTAAAATGCATAGTCGCCACCAATCTCAAGCTCGGTGGTTCACTTTATTACTGTGACAACGAAAATTTGCTTTTCTCTCTATGAAATTTCTCATCTAAAGTTAAAGTACAACCAGAGGCAACACAGAGGGGCAGCTTTCAAGTTTGGAACTAGAAAGGCCTGGGCTGACCTCTCAGCTCTGCTATTAAATTGCTGTGTAATCTTAGGCTGTCAAGTTTTACTTTCCTCATCTGTAAAATGGAGTTAAAACAATGCCTACCCTCCTGGATTTTTGTCACTTAATTATTAAACAGAAAATACATGTGCCCGGCACAGTGTAACTACTTTAAAAGTATTCATTATCAGCATCATTGTTATTGGGATGGCAGCTATTTTTAAATGGCAAGAATACAGACTGGCCACACAAAGTTGACCTGACCAATTGAAAATTCCACTTTAATTTAGTCCTTATCTCTTTGCATGTTTTTTTTTTAATTTGAGTCAAAATGCTGAGCTCTAATTTAATTTCCAGATAGATAGAGCTTTAGGGGGAAAACCTGCAATTTGGCAACAACAAACACAGTTCTAACAAAAAAAATTAACTGAAATTAACAACAAATATTCATAAAAAGCAAATATGACAAATGCAGTTACTAAAAAAATAAATTAAGAACTGCTTAGCTCACACATCTAGTCCTTTGCACTTTTTCTCTTCTTAAAAATGTAGGTTGATCTAGTTCTTTAAAAATGTATTCTTAAATTCAAAGTTAATGGTAGGAATATATTTAGGGTCTTTTCGTAGTATGCTGTTCTTTTTCCTTCATAGTTTTAGATGGTGAAATCCAACATTTTGACTTTTTGAAACTAAATTTTAATGTTGCAAATAGGAACTACCTCTCGGTATGTAAGCTCTTCTACACTTACAAGGTTCTTACAGTTTTTCATGGAGTCCAAGATACTCTGTTGAAGTAGGTCAAGGGATTCTTTTAACCAGATCATTTCCATTTATTATGTGTATGTATGAGAATTATATAGACTTCATTTGAAAAAAGTAGTTAGGGATCAAAAAGTTGACAACCAACCTAAGCTGAAAATATGAATCTTCAGAAATCAAATATATTTTTCCCATTTTATTCACTTTTTTATCTGTGCTTATTCTTACTTATGCTCAGAAGATTTGTTTTGCCTTCTGTTTATCTAAATTTAAATTCAATACTATTAGCTTTAGTATTATTGAGGGTGTCCTCTAAATACACCTCAAAATTGTCCGTAATTTTGAAGAAATACGTCATCTTTATCTCATATATGCCTACAGCTTTAAGATATGACATTTGAGGGACCTGCAATTAAGCACAAACGATAAGATACTAAATACGTGTTTACTGTGTAAATGATTAGTGGGGCTGAACTATGTGTTCTCAGATAACCACTACTTGTGATTTACTTATTTGGATTTTACTTATTTAGAGTGATAATATAATTTATAGAGTGCTTTAAGAGGGCTCTGAGATATATAAAAAAAATGAAATTTTTATGCTGTGAATTAAAAAATAAAGGCAAATAAAAAGAGCCATCAGGCCTAGTGATAGTATTACTCCAAGCAAATAGAAACTGTGGCCCATAGACTAGATTGCAAGAATAATAATCAATGGCAAATAAAGAAACAGATTCTCACTGTGACTTCCCCCCTTACGGTTGTGTATTTTTTCTAAGTACAGATTGATTTAAATTGCTACTTGTCGTTGACAAGAATTGTTGGTTCCAAAATAAACCTAGACTGTTGTTTCAAGAATGCGGTTCCTAATATTTTCTATTACTTTGGTGAAAAAAAAGAAGGAATTTTTGGTAGTGTGTGAAGGTCTCTGTATTTTTATTGGCTAGTTACATAGTC